GGAATTAGTTCCGTCGGTATGAGCTGACCAATCAAACTTTGCCGACATCGGAAAAATCGGATTTCCGTCGTTATTCCGTCGGAAAGTCGTCGGGAAATTACGACAGCTTATTTCTGTCGGAAATCCATCGGGACAAGACGACAGATTTCCGACGGAAAACCGACGGTTTCCGTGTCCGTCGGAAATCCGTCAAAAAATTCCGACGGATTTCCGACGGATTCATTTTGCTCGGAAATCCGTCGGTATACCGTCGGAAAATTCCGACGGAAATTTCGGCCGTCGGAAATTCCGTCGGAATACTGTTTGTTTTCTTGTAGTGTTTGTGTATTTAAGTCACAAGTGTTCTAAAGGAAATATATGAATAGAAAATTGAAGTAAACTTGTATTTTGTGTTTGTTCTTGATAAAATTGGTCGATCTCATAATTGGGACCAACCATGGATGTCCCATGATGTAATGTCACTGGTGAAAGACATCACACGACGACATCTTTGTCTGAAACCCTAATTCAACTCATAAACACATAATTTTCCAGACGTTGAGCGGCCTTCCAAATCTTAAATGATTATGTTGCGTTATATCATATAACTTTGTTTTTCACTCTATAATAAAGTAATGAGCTATATTACTCCATATTTAGTGTTACATTGAAACCTCAACTTTTTTATATTAAACTGTTTTGAATTACCAAATAATCCGTCAAATGTAATATGTTTCTATTTTACACTTCAACAAAATTATTTTAATTATTTTACATTTAAGATCTAAATATACAGTTCTCTGTATATGATTTGTAGCTTAGATTTTCATCATCTCTTTGAATGTTTTGGTGAAGTTTTACATATTTTTTAAATCTTATTTCATCTTGGTGAGTAGTTGAGTTCCCTTAATGGATTATGTGTAATAGGGGTGGCCAAACTGGGTTTTTATTTTTTGTCATACGGTTTTTTTTTTCTAGTCAAATCGGGTTTTGGATTGGATTTTTTTGGACTGGATTGGATTTGAGTTATTTAGATTAAGAATTATTGTATCAAATTTAATCCAATTGAAACTTGGATTGGATTTTTTAGGTTTTGTATTGGGTTTGAGTTATTTGGATTAGAAATTCTTATACCAAAATCCAATTAAATTTTAAAGCGGATTTCTTAGGTTTTGGATTGAGTTAAGTTATTTGGAACACAAATAATTTGACGAAAGTAAACTTAAATCTAATTTTATTGGGTTGTTTAGGTTTTGCAATGGATTCTATTAGTTGAATTATTAAATAAGAATAACATCTAAAATTAGTAAATTTACGTATAATGAAAATGCTAATAGTATATTACTATTTTGATATAAGTAATTTTACATATACTTAAAAAATTAATAGTAAACTACTAATTTTGATTAAGGAAACTTTACATTTATATTAATTTATTTACTAATATAATATATGTAAAAAAATTTGGGTTTTATTTAGTTTTTTTTAGTTATCTAAAGACTAATCCAAATAACTCAAACACAAATCAATATTTATTATTCAATCCAAATAGTTTTTTGTATAGAACCAATTCTATAGTAATCGGAATTAT